GGGTGTCTACCCCCAGATTTGTTGTTGATTAGTTTTGTGCTGGGCTTTAGCCATCCTCTTTACCCAAAAAAAGAAAGATAAAGGATGCAATGACCCAAAAAAAATATAAAATTTGGCCAGTTTTTTGCTTAAGTCACTTATTTGCGGCGAATAACTTATTAGTGTAGTAGTTTAGAGCAAATGCTCCTTCAGAAAAGGTCTCTGGTTTGAGTCCTATTATTCGTGTAGTATGTGAGTTCAATATGTTATCGCTCCTTTTAATACGAAAGATCCTCAATAAAAAAAAATATATCACTCGAGGAATCCTTTTTTATTTATTTCAGTTTCGAGAAAATGATAGAAGAAAATGGAACTCTTTATTCTATTTATATTTTCTTCTTTTCTTTCTTGTGTGGGTATGAGACTGTGAGTGGTTGGTGACGTTGCGGGTATGGCAAGTTGATGCTTTATCTCTTTTTATTATTTATTTTTACGTTTCTTTTTTATATTAAAAAAAAGTAAAATATTGTTATTCCATACAACGCAAGTAGGAAGGCAGTTTTTACAAGAGCGCCTAAACTATGCCACGCGTTGGAAACATATGACTTTATCCTTAAAATTTTGCTATTTTCTGATTTATTTATTTTTTCTGTTCCATGAGATTTGGGTATCATCTCATATGTTGCTTCTCTAATTGATGGCTGATTACATGCAAAATCTGAACCCAAAGTTATAATAATTGAAAAATCAAACTCTTCAATCAAATATTATATTACAAATTTATAAATAAACTCAATCCTAGACATGTATTTATAAAAAAACCCAAGCACTATTTAAACATAGAAACACACCCAAAATCAACCCCAAAGTCAACTTTTTGGGTGTGTTTATAAATGGGTTTTGAGTGTGTGTAATGATGGGTTTTTTCTAAGATACATGATCCATTGCGGTTTGTCAAATATTTACACATTATGTTACTATATTGAAACTGCATATTCAAATACGAGTTTACTTATGTATCTATGTTCATGAAGGAAGAAATTAATGTTGCAAAATTAATCTAATTCAAGGAGGAAAATTTGAACTTAAATACAAGAGTCGGCCTTGGTCAAACTCACATCTGCAAAAATAGATGATTGTGTTATTGAACATGCGATATGTTCACAATGTCATGTTGTGAATTACAATTGCACTTTCTTATAGAACTTTACCTAATCAACAACTATGCATTCATGATAAAAACAAAGTGATGGACGGTAGAAATTTACTCATATGATGGAATTTAATTTTTCATATGATAATTAGCATATTTAAGAAAGAAAAACAAATAAAGTAGAGCTTATGAATCACAGATGAGTCCGACCTCACAAAAATCTTTCCCCAAAATCCCTCTCTCTCTAGTTTAAAATCCTTAATTAGATTCAAACCTCACATTTCTCCTTCCATACTTCTCTTTCTACTTTTTAAACCTCATTAAACCCCCTAACTTTCCCTTTTCTCTTTGTCTCTCTCTCTCTCTCTCTCTCTCTCAAAAAGAGCCAAAACAAAACCAGTGTGGGAGAAGGCGCTTGACAGATCAGAGAGAGAAAGAAAGAGCGCTTCACACAAACAAAACCCAAAAATCCAAAACAAAATCAAAAGGAGAAAAAAAGGGAAAATACAAAACCTCTGTTCCTCTCTCTGAAACCAAAGCTAAGCAAAGCAGAAGGTCTCAGAGGAAGGCTCAAATCAAATGGGGCAGAAGGCGCTGATCTACGCGTTCGTAGCACGAGGCACTGTGATTCTGGCAGAGTACACGGAATTCAGCGGCAATTTCAACTCCATAGCGTTTCAGTGCCTCCAGAAGCTTCCCGCTACCAACAACAAGTTCACTTACAACTGCGATGGCCACACCTTCAATTACCTCGTCGACAATGGCTACAGTAATGCCCTTTTTACTTTATTTTTGCCTCCCGAGAAAATTCTCTCGCAGGAAAATGACGGAGAAACTACTTTATGTTGTGTTGATTATTTGCTTTGTTCATTTTACTTTGTTGTGCTCGCAAACCGAAGTGAAGTTGAGGGTTCGTTTGATGTACTTAATTGTTCGTAGATCTGTTCTTGATGCTGATGTTTGGGCTCATTTTATGAATTTTGAGTTATGGCGCTGGTTTTCGATTTCTGTGCTTTAGAGGTTTTAGATCTTGGATCTTATTCTTACATTAGAAGATATCTTTTTGTTGCTTTGCAACTATGCATGAGTGAATGCTGTTTCCGTGTGATTGGTTTTCAATTATATTCAAATATCAAGTGTCATTCTAGAGTAGTTATTAGTAGATTGCATCTCATTTCTTTTTGAATGTTGAACTGAGCATATTTCCAATGCCTTGATTTCCTGGTTTTTCACATATCTAATCATTTTGGATGTTGAATTTTCTAGGAAATGTGACACTCTTAAAACATTCGAACTACTGCTGTGTTGCATAGGCTTCCTTTCATTTCTTTGAGCTATCTTCATAAATTCTTAGAACCGAGTATTTTTAAATTCTTGTTAGCGTCAGTTCATAATTTACTATTATCTTATTCAATCGGTTACTGACCGATGTTTCTTCTTGTCGCAGCGTATTGTGTGGTTGCAGATGAATCATCTGGAAGACAAGTACCTATCGCTTTTCTGGAGCGTATCAAAGATGATTTTGTTTCAAAATATGGTGGTGGAAAGGCTGCTACAGCCCCTGCCAACAGCCTTAACAAGGAATTTGGGTATCATACCTAATTCGGTTCATGTGAAAGACATCCTAATTCAATTTTGTCTGGTTAAAATAGCTGATTTGGTTTTCCATTACTTGCAGGTCAAAATTGAAGGAACATATGCAGTACTGTGTTGATCATCCTGAAGAAATAAGCAAGCTTGCAAAGGTGAAGGCCCAGGTTTCAGAAGTTAAAGGTGTTATGATGGAGAATATTGAAAAGGTACACTGCATGGGTTTATTGGTATTGAGTACTTGTTTTTTATTAGATTGTTTTCCATGGATGGGATACAACATTATTGAATCCAACTGACTTACCTTAATTCACCTATTTATTTCTTTATATTTTCTCTTTTTTGGCCAGCTATTTCTCAGTTTTGGGAATCTATAGATGGAATAAGGGTTTTTCACTCCAACTTGATCAAATTGTTGAACATTTAGGTGCACGCACATGTGCTCACACAAGCATGTCGATAAATGTGCATGTGCACGCTTTTGTCTGTTAGAACCTAAGTTACCTACATTATTGGGCACTATGGCACTAGTAATGGTAGTTGGGACTCAGGAAACTGGATCTGGAATGAGTCTTAAGGATAGAGGTGCATCTTGTTTCCAATGTTCAGGTGAAGGAAAAGTATCCTAACCTTGAAAAATGTTATGATTAACTGTGGAAGATAAATTTAAAAAAAAGACTCCATGAAGAAAAATAACTTGACCATTTTTTTCTCACTTGTAGACCAGACGTGACCAGGAGAATATTTTGCTAGTCTTTATGATCAATCTTGTTCTTTATGCAGATTGTTTCAATCTTGTGAAAATAGACTCATTCTTAAAAACAGCAAGGACTAAAATACTCAAATCACAAAAACCATATTCTAATAACCACCATGACCTTGTTTACTGTTTCTGGAGAAGAAACAGAATTCAAAAGTAATTCCAGCAAATTGACTGTGAAGGGTAGATTTGCTGAGACTTCTGTTTTTTGGATAGTTGCGATATATTTTCAAAATTGAAGTCCACTATTCTTAGAACCTGTTTTATATGAGTTTTCTTGGGCTTTTGATGTGGAAGAATATATTCATCAGTACAATGTTTGAGATATATGATTAAAGCAATGTGTGCCTTGATGTGTTATATTTTACGTGGATGAAGTTCAATGACTATTTTCGTTGGGTGTAAACATCCATTCTTATATAGACATAGAACAGAGGTCATTAGATGGACTCCTTGTTTCCTCGAGATGCCTTTTTCATACCTTTTTTCTTCTTCTGAATACTCATATGTCCTCATCTTGCATTTTGATGCAGGTTTTAGATAGAGGGGAAAAGATAGAGCTTCTGGTTGACAAGACTGAGAACCTTCATCAACAGGTCACCTCTCTCTCTCTCTCTCTCTCTCTCTCTCTCTTAAGCACGTGTTACTAATACTGTGAATTTAAAATTTTGAAATTATCTATTTTCCCCTGTATTATGCATGGCCTCAAGTATGTAATGATTCATAAAAGGGATTTGTAGAGTTTATGATTGCTTTCCACAGTTCATGAAGTCTAATTCTGATTCTGGCTTCCACAGTTCGAAATTGATTCATCTTTTCAAGATTTTATTTCCTTTGAAAGAATTGTTATTCTACGTAACCTACTTATGGGGGAAAACTTGATCTGCATACAGGCACAGGACTTCAGAAATGTTGGGACGAAAATGCGGAGGAAGATGTGGCTGCAGAACATGAAGGTGAAGCTGATTGTTTTGGGAATCCTGATCGCACTAATCCTTGTCATAATCCTATCCGTTTGCCATGGTTTCAACTGTGGAAAATGAGCTTCAAGAAAAGCTTTTGGTCTTGCCAGTCCAAACTTTTGCAATTATATGTAGTATTATTATAAGAGAAAGATCAAGTGTCTGTTGCAAGTCTCTTTACAAGTATGTGTCAAAAGGCGAAGACGTATTTTTTGTGTGAATGAATGGAACTCCCTATATGATGTTACTACCTGGTCATGAGAATGCTTTGCTAAGAAAAAGAAATTCAAATTGCTTATTGCTTTAAAGCTTATTGTCTCGCATCTTGAAGTGCGTTGCTCAAGAATTACGTGCTTTTTTGCGAAGTTCCTGTGGCATATAGTAATGTGTTTCTGAATTATATTGCAAAGCTGAATTCCATTCGACGTCCATACTTGTTGAAACATTATTGATAATATACAACATTCGCAATGGACGCTAGACATTTACACCATGCAAAACGTTTAAATCAGTAAAATCTGAGTTCATGGAAGAAGCAAAAACACTAGCTCCGATGGTTAACAGTGCATTTGTGATCTCATAAAGGTCAGAAGTTCGAATCCTGGGATGCCCTTCAAAAAGAACCCAAATCTGGTTATTAAATACATGCAAAAAAAAGTAAACACAACAACTCTGAAAATTTTCCAAAACAATTCAATAATTTTGTATCAATTACAAAGTATATCAAAATTGAAACTATCTTTTATCATCATCATCATCAAAATTGTAACCAATTTTACTGTTATTATTCCAACACACTCTTTTCCCTCCTCTACAAACCCCACTTCTCAAATTCAAACCCAAACCCGCCACCCCTTTCTCCTCCTCCTCAACCCCCAATCCAATCCTAAACCTCACTCTCCCCATCTTCTTCTCCTCCCCCAATTCCAAGCAAAACCCTTTCTCATTCCCACCATTCCCATTCCAATTCCCACTCTCACTTACTCTTTCACTTTCACTTTCATTCATAACACCACCACCACCATTCCCAGCCACCAAATTCTCCCACAACTCCTCACCATTCCTCCTCTTCGCGACCGTTTTCTTTACATCCGGGAATGCTGGAAGCCATCTCGGCACGTGCAAATCCCTCCCGGAATCCGTTTCCACCGGAAACGGAATCCGTTTCTCTGTATCCAATTTCTCGGCCCCCGGAATCGGCCTGGCGAATGGGGTTTCCTCGTTCCAGCTGACGAATTTGGCGAGATCGGTCAAAACGCTCGAACCCAAAACGCAGAAGCCGTTTTTGTGGAGAAAGGAGGCGCCTTTGAAGCCTTGCACCGACTGCAAGTCATGGAGGGCGTTGGTGAAGTCGAAAACGTTCGTGTTGGTGCGATTGGCCATGGCGGCGTAGGAGGCTGAAGCGGAAGCTATGGCCTCGATGTACTTGATGGCGATGTGGGCTAGGGTTTCGACAGCGGAAGGCTTCGTGGCTTTGAAGCCGACTGATTGACTGATTTGAGACGCTGCGATTCTGGCTATGGCGAATGAGAACTCCGATGGTGTTGGGTTTGGGCTTGTCGTCGGGGGTCCTTGTTGCCTTGGTGTCTTTCGTTTTGATTTTGATTTTTGGGACATGATGGTGACTGACTGGTGGTAGTGGCGATGGTGGATTGGAGAAGAGAGGGTTTTCTGCTTGCAGACGGTTTAGGGTTCGAAACTCTAACTGTGCGACAACTTTGGCCCTTTTATTATTGGCTACTCTTAGATATTTTGAATTAATTATGAGAAAATGGATTTTTTCAACCTCCTATCCAATGGCATCGGAAAAGATGGAAAAATTATAATGTAGTACTAAAATACGGTCACAAGAACATTATTGTATTAATAATTAACATGAGTAGTGTGCAGTATCAGAAAATACGGAGAAATTATAATGTGATACTAAAATATGGTCATATGAATATTAATATATTTATGATTAGCATGAGTAGTTTGCGCAAGACATATGTAAAATTTATTTAGTGCAATCTTGTCCTAATTAATTTTCTTCTATCGAATTTAAAAATTAAAAATTAAAAATTAAAAAACAAAAAAAAAACAAGAAACATGGAATGTTGTCCAATAATGAACCATGCCAAAACCATATGAGAGTAGTACAAAGAGAAACTGTCCAATTTATTATTAGATTCTAGGAGTTTTCACAATTTCAATGCCTCTTCTTCCCCAAGAGATTGAATTACAAGTTAGATGGACAAGCAGGTTTATTTGATGTGATAATAGCCAATGGAGACAAGATTTCTGGCAAAAGAGATTGTTCCCAATGGAGTTTAAAGATTCATAACAACAAAGTATATAACTATATATTCATGGAACATGCACTTTCACAAGGAGCATAATAATGCAAAATTCTGAACCAGTCACAAGGATACTATTTCTGGCCCAAGCGAAGGGAATTACAATTAGAAGATGAGGTTGCTGGGTTGGACTTGGGCTAGACTTGAAGTTGAAGTTGAAGTTGAAGTTGCTTTAGGGTAGCTAAAATTGGATCTACAACTTGATCAAAAGAGTGGATTGGGCTTTGGGCTAACTAAAGTACAATCAAAAATTAATTTGGGACCATATGCTTTGGGCTAGCTTTGTTGCCAACCCAACCAAACTACAACTTTATATCCGGTCACACCAATTTCATTTTTCTTCTCTCATTTTATTTAGGATATTGCTTGCCTTCTTCCCTGTAAAGAGATATTCCTCGTTCTTGCGATCACAGTTTAACACATATGCAAAAATAATTCATCAAAAACACAAAAATAAAAACTTCTGCGCACTTGTCCCACTACTATTGATAGAATTGTAGGAGCTCCTACTTACATAATAAGGAAGTATTCTCCTTTTATTCATGATGTGTGCCATTTTGGCTTAAAGACTTGTTCTATTTGGGGCTTCTACCATAGTTGTTACACGTCATTTTCAACAGCTATTAGATCTCCTATAAGACAACCTCACCACCATCCATGACCATGGCTTCTTTTTTTCCTTAATGAACTTTGGACCAAATGTGGTTCGACCGACTTCATTATCATGATTTATATAGTATGGTCTACCTGCCTCAGTCTGATGAAAAGTTAGATCCCATTTAGAAAATTGCACGACATCCACCTATGAATTTGTTCACATGCCAAGAAAACAAGAGGTATAGATAAGTCTTGCATTTAAATTACTTTTAACTTTTGGAAGATTCTGGTATGACTTGACTAAGATTCTTGGCTTTGGATTCAATAGCATGACTTGGAGACCATGCTCTGGTCCAGCATTTGATTCCTTTATAGCTACGACATGCAATGTTGGGATGACCAATAAAGTTTGATGGGCGACATTTACTCTTTTCAACCCCATTTTTTTAAAATGCTCATGGTAGTTGTGCCTAAAGTCTCACTCAATTTTTATTATTTTCTTTTGCTCATAAGTTTATTCATAGCTTGTTGATGTGTGATATAGATTGCTAATCCTGCCATAGTCTTAGATTTAGGTCACTTTCCATGCCATCACCCTTCTCTTCAACGATACACTTAATCTTTCAAAGGGAGGAAAAGTTGGAAGCTCATCTAGAATGGAGCAGTACATCTATTTTCCTCTTGTTTTTTTGTTTTTGTTTCTCTCTCTCTCTCTCTCTCTCTCTCTCTCTCTCTCTCTCTCTACATATGTGTGTGTGTGTTTTTAAAAATAGCCATCCCATATGGACAATCTTTTACAAGTTCCCATATGTTGTCACCATTATTCCTAATATGTTTGCAAATAGCGTTAAGAAGATGATTTTAAATTCAACTTCAAATGTAGTAGGTGGTTGAACCCTATAATTTATAAGTATCTTTTCCTATCAATTTGATTAAGTAAAAAAGTTTACTTAATTGCATCAAGATTTGAACTTTAACACAACTCCTTAACTCCAATCCCTTCAATATAAGCGAAAACAAGAAAACCCCACCATTCCCTTTACTTTGGACCATATCTTGAAGAATTCAATACCTCTCCCTTTCTCTCCAACTCAAGAACCCATTAAAGTTCATTTGGCCATCTTTTGGGTTTGTCTTGGCAATTAAGAATTTGAAGTTTAAGGGTTTAAAAGAAAAGGGAAAAGGAAGTGAGATGATTGATCTGCTGCACTAATTAGGTTTGATGTTGCAATCTTGGAAAACGCATAAATGGGATCATGGGATGAAAGAGAGGTTGTGGCCTTGTAGACTTTAGCATATGCGATTTCTGTCGGTGGGATAAGATTATGTGCTTCCAAGGGCATCTTTCTAACTCAATGAAAAAAGAATGGCTAGCAAAAGGATCCCCCTTTATGCATATGTTGTTTTTACCTTCCTGGATACTTCAGCTTTATTGGGTTTTGATTCAATTCAAATATGGAATTAATAATCCAACCCCTAGATATTATGCCCGACCTTTACTTCTACTCCACCATCTCTTTATATCCTACCAAATCCATCTTCCTAAAGCAAAACCAATGGCACTCCTCAAAATTCCCACTTAAAGGATGAGCTATTTGGAAGACTATCATAAGCTCTATCTCTCTCTCTCTCTCTCTCTCTCTCTCTCTCTCATGTTGTCATATGAGTGGGTGCAATGTTATAAAGGGAAAATGTGGTGTTGAGAGAGAGCAAAGGGAGGCAACAACATCAAAATTTTAAGGTGAGCGTAGCTGGTAGCTGGATTGTGTCCCCTCAGGGCCCCACCTTAAATTCAGACTTGCTTGGCCCACAACTTTTGATGTAGATCCATATTTTATGCCAGGCTTTGTCCACTCCATCACCATCAAATTCCACCCCCACCTATGTGCATGGAATATGGATATATCTGCAAAGTGGACTTGCCTTCTTTATGACACACCTTTCCATTTCTTTACATTTTTACACTACTGGGGACCAATCCTTAATCAAACATTCAAAGACTAACTTGAGAGAGAGAGAGAGAGAGAGAGAGAGAGAGAGAGAGAGAGAGAGAGAGTAGATAGATACTAAGATCCTCCAATTTAGGTCAGCTTTCTTAGGCCCACTCTCACAAAACTATAATTAAAAAAAAGAAATGAATGGGGCTGTTGTCTGTGTGTGTCATTTTCATACTTGCTTGACAATACAGAGAGTAGATCCAACAAGCATACCATGTGGTATGAACTTAGAGCTTGTCCTCTTAACTTGTCTTTTCAATATGGACACACACGCATATATACATATGCTGTCAACCCATCAATTTCTTCTTTTCAATTTTTCTTGGGGAGCTCAGAAAATCATCTTATTGTTTCTTGTGTGTTTTCTGAAAATCAAAATTAGATTAGTATTCAAGTTCCTCTTTGACCAGGCCAGAAAAGAATATCAGCTTTATCTTTGTCTATATTTATTAATTTTTAATTAATTTTTTTTGGGTTTTCCTATGCCATACATGTTGCAGTGTTGCACGTTACCTCCAATTTATATAATTTTTGTGCAGAGTTAGTAGAAACGCATGAGTTTTGGAGATGATAAAGATGTGACATAGAAACAAAATTATTGATTTGATATTGTTTTGGTCAAGAACGGCACGTATGGAAAGCAACAAAGTTCGGTTTGCTATCTTTTATTTTTATCAATCGAATCGAAGGTGACAAATTGGGTGGTTAGTTTCTCTGAATTGCTACATCACATCTAGGAAAGACAACCCTAAATTATATATATTCAATCAAAACCAATTACTATAAGAACATCTCACAAGTCAAAAAACGCCAATAATCTTCACGTCTACAAGCAAGAAAAACAAGATAACTTGAGACAAAAAAAAAAAAGTGTGAAATATTCTTCTTTAACCAAAATGGTGCACCACGTAAGTGGACATTATTTGTTTATTGGATGCGTGCCGATATATATGTATATATATATATGTAAAATTCATCACAAATATATTTAATATATTTTGGATGACAATGAGGAGATGGGTGATGGGTCGAGGCCACAACTTGTTCATGTCATCTAGTACATGCATAAACAGCTGGTCATGGCCAAAAATTCCCACGCAACAAAGAAAGGCCAAAGATTCATTGCAGTTTTCAGTGGTCCGCGCCTTGAATGATTGTGCAGAATAATAGACCAACACAGAAAGTGAGCGATGCCTCTACGGAAAATTTTAAGGTCAATTTTGAGGAATTAAAGGTTAATTTCTTGCCCACAAGTTGAGGTTCCAAATTCCATTTACACGTTTATTTGCTTGGGGGATACTTCTAAGCTCTGAAGGCCCAATAATATCGAGTTCAAGTATTTCCTTGGCAGAGCGATTATAATTATCAGAGAGATTAGTTTAGTTGGTTGTTAATGTGAGCAAAGTATTTTAGGGGTTACTTTATTGTTTAACCAGTGCACTTTGTGTTTTTTGTTCAAGTGATAATAAATAAGTGGAGATTTAAACACAGTATCTCGAGTGCAAAAATAACTACTCTTAACTACTTGAGCTACAAAATATTAAAAATTAAGAGAGCATTTACCGACATCTAATATTTTATACTTTAACAAGCCACGTAGGTTGGTCGATTTGATGTGTGACAATTCTTGAGTGATAAAATAAATAAAATTGTCACTGCACATTTAGAATCGAGTAAAAAGAAAGAAAAAAAAAAGATTAAAAAGAAGAAGACGGTTCAAAATATTAAACGGCCGGCCAACACAATCAAATCCAATTGCATGTGAAAGCAATGCGACCTTTTTATTAATATATATTTTTTTCTTTTTCAACAGAAAATTAAATCATTGATCAAACTTGTCAAACATTCG